CGCCAAATAATCAAGCATTGATCGCAATTCTTCATCCACTCCTCCATCAAGAGCACTCAATGGTTCAAGATATTTGACCATAGCTACTCTTAACTTATTTCTGCCATGAGACTCAAAAACTTCCGGTATAACAAAATCAATCTCATTAACAAAAATCATAGAGTAAGAGTTAAGAAAATGCGGGTTAGGGAATGGAGGTGGTGTCACCACATTTGATGATTCTTCACTAGATTCTTTCACTTGAATGGGTTGCGGTTGGGGTTCCATTTCTTCCTTTCGGCTTCTTTTCCAACTGCATCTGTAGATTTCTCATTTTGACACTCTTGCATCTCCTCATCACTAGTCAAGCAAATTGCACTCTCATTTTCTTCTAGATCAACAATGGTTTTCGAGAGCAATTCTTCCATTTGAGAAGCCAATCGATTTATTTTGGATGTCAATAGACATAGTTGATCTGCCAGATTACTCATTGCATCCTTTATCATCTCATTCCTTATTTGTGTCTCCTGTTGGAATTGGTATGTATTAGTAGCTAATGATTCAACTATTTCTTCAAGAGACATACCTGACATAGATGATGATTCTGGAGACTCATACTGCTGAAAATTCATTGGCCCTGTTGTATAATCATAACTGGAGTTATCCCACCATTCTTGATCATACCCGTTTGGATTAGGGTTATACCACGTTTGAGACCAGGGTGAAAAATCTCTATAATTATTGAGTGGGACACTCAGATTATCTTGATATTCGGGGCACATACCGGTTGAATGATCCCTGGCATAACAAATTTTACAGGTTGCAGCAGCCATTCTTTCTCTAATAGAGTTTAGTGCCTCTAAATATGCAAACTTAGCAAAAAAACTAGCCTCATTGCCTTCCCCGGAAACAAAATCCATTATATCACCAAAATACGGAGCGTTAGAAGCCATAAGTTATATTAAAAAAAATAGGAGAAAAATAAATTAAAAATGAAAATAAAATGAACTCAAAAAGAAACAAATTAAACAGGCACCAGTCCCCGGCAACGGCGTCAAAAATTGACAGGGTGTCGAACCTGTACAATAATAAATACCTACTCGAGAAAAATACAGATTTTGTATATAGCGGTGAGTAGGGTCGAATCCACAGGGATTGGGGATAATTCGTTTCTTTTAGAGTCCAAAGTATGGGGGGTTTTGGATTGAATGCTAACTAAATAAATTAACTGCAGAAAATAATTAATTAAAAGAAATAATTGGAGAAACTCTAGCCAAGGGTACACTTCAGAAATGGTTCACGCAACTGATCATCGATTCAAATATAATTCCAACATTTATTAATAGATTAGTTATAGTTGTCATGCCACTACAAGAAAATTGGTCATCAGTGACAACTTTTCTCTGTGACAAAAAATAATTGTCACAAAAGTGGATCCTTTATTGACGACTTTCTAACTTGTCACAAACCTCTAATGGGAGCCAACTCATTTGTGACGACTTAGAAAAGTCGTCACTAGTAAATTCCCGCCAAGATTTAGTAAGAGCGCGGGAGTGTTTAGAACACACAATAGTGACGACATTAAGAACATCATCACTATTGCTTGGCCTATTTACGGACGACTTTTTGTTGTCGTCACTGATCACTAAAAAAAAAGTTATTAGTGACAACATTTTGTAGTGATGACAATAGGTCGTCACAAAAGGAGCTTCTTTAGTCGCGACACCTAAAGTTGTCACAATTGCATCAAAGCAACTAAATGTTTAGTGACGACCCGTTATTTTCGTCACAAACTACACTGCAAGAAATATGGTCATTAGTGACAACATTTTTTCGTGGTTGTTTAGTGACGACAAGGAATGTTGTCATAATTGCTCAAAGCAACTAAGTCTTCAGTGACGACCTTGAAAAAGTTGTCACTAAAATGCTCTATATATTGACAACTTCTAATATCGTCACTGTCACTCTACCGATTCGGATTTAGTGACAAGAATTGATCGTCACTGTTTAAAGTACTTATTTCTAAGTCACTTTCATTAATTCTACTGTGCCACCCTAACTTTTGCGATTTAACCCCAAATGTTGTAAAAAATTCCATTAATTCCATTATGATACCTTAACTTTTACAATTTAGCCCCATATGTAGTACACCGATTTCTTTAATTCTATTATTACTCCCTAACTTTTGTAATTTAGCCCCATATGTAATTCACCAATTTCATTAATTCTACTATGGCACTCTAACTTTTGCAAATTAACCCCCATATGTAATACACCAATTTTATTATTTCTATTATGGCACCCTAGTTTTTACAATTTAGCCCCTATTTTTTATTAGGAAATTGCGAATGGTATCTTGATAAACTATGCATAAATATTTTATAATTTTCTCAAACTTAAGTAATAATTTGTTATAAACTCTAAAGATATATCTTTCATTACAATAGTTATAAGGCATGCAGGTTTTTTTATCAATGGAATACGAAATTTATACCAGATTTATCCTTTGTACTACATGCCAAGTAGTATTAGCAAAGGAATAACAAAGTACTACAAAGTAATTAACAAAATAGCCTTCAAGAAGTGTAGTTTATGGGCAAATGAGCATTATCTATTCAAAGTATCAACTTTTTATGGGTATTTTACTCTCAAACATATAATTTATGATAAATTTATAAATGTTTGTAAGTAAAATTCAAAAAGTGTTACACTGATTTCTTACAAAACGAAAACTGGCAGGTTATCTTTTCAACATAAATTAAATTTTTTTAAAAAAGAAATGGCCCATAAAGTACCAACTCTTTGTGGGTTTCCTCCATTACATGAACAAATATTCTGCTCTTTATGGGCATTTCACTCTGAATCATTTAATTTATGTTAAATACATAAATGTTTATAAGTAAAATTCAAAAAGTGTTGCACTAATATTTTTATGAAAGAGAAACTGGTAGGTTTTGTATTTAACATAAATTAAATATGTGAAAGGAAAAAAAAAAGAAATTACCCATAAATCTATGTCTTGCAAATCTATACTAGTAAAATAGTTTCAAACAAAATTAAACATTAAAATAAACTGTAATTTATACACATTAAAATATCTGTAATTTATACACATATTGCAACTACTACTTTGTGTTTTCTCTATAATGAATTTTTTAACTATTGAGAACTTAAGTTTTGTCTTGCAAATCTATACTAGTACAATAGTTTTAAACAAAATTAAACATTAAAATAAATGTTTGAAAAAGAACAAAAGTACATTTATCACTTGCAGTAATGTAACAAAATTTTCTCAACCATTATCAATATTTTCACAAAAGTATTAAAAACTAGCAATTGACAATATTAAAAACTAGCAATTTAATTAGTGACAACTTTTCTTGTCATTATAATCTTGAATAAATTAGTGATAACATTATGTTATCACTAAATTTTCTTTGATTTTGACTTAACAATAATGTCTTATTAATAGCATTTGATTATTTTTAATGAAAGTCTGTTATAACCATAGAATTTGACTTTCGTTATTTTCAATTAATGATGTACTTTAGTGCTGCAATTATAAAAAATTGCAGGCCTAAAATATTTGCAAATTATAAAAGTATATTTTCACTTATATGTAATTAATAAATTTTGCCACCTATATTGATGAAAATTTGTGTTTTTGTACTAAAAAATAAAGAATAATACTATAGCAATAAAATCTATGCTTCAAACCAAATTAAAAATAAAAAAAAGCATGATGATTGGTCTCAAATGTTGGGAAAATGATTATTTTATTGAAACTATGTTATAACCATATAATTTGAGTTTAATTATTTTCAATTACATGATATTCTTTAGTGCTGCAATTATAAGAAATTAGTATAAAATATTAGCAAATTATAAAAGTACATTTTCAATTATATGAAATTAACAAATTTTGCCACCTATGTTGATGAAAACTTTTATTTTTTGCTAAAAAATAAAGAATAATACTATAGCATTAAAATCTATGGTTCAAACCATATTACAAATCCAGAAAAAACATGATTTTTGGTATCAAATGGAGGGAAAATGAGTGAAGTCAAAATTTTGATCAAATCATAGTAAAAGTGCCGTGCAACAAAAACAATATCCAAAGCAAAGCAAAGACCAAAGCAGCGGAACACATTCTGAAAACAAAAGCAACGGAACACTTGGTCTGAGTTAAAGCAACAGAACACTTGAGCAACACAAACTTTCACCGAGCTGAAACAAACAAGCTTCTACACTGAGCACAAAACAGAGCTTCCGCACGGCACCTGATACTTTCACCCACACAACAAATCCGTTCTCTGGCTTCTCACTAGCATCACCATGGCTGTCCAGCATTAAAGGGCAAGGTTTTCATTGGAAAGGTTCATTTTTCTCTCTCCTATACATTTTCCCCAATTTTTCCAAATCCCTAATATTCTACAATATTTTTTGCAAATTTCTGCCCAAAATCTTTTAGCAGCTCTTGATTATTAGATGCTATCATAGCTATGTTGTACTCGGAACTCCCTCCGCTCGACTCGATTCATCTAACCTATGGTTGATTTGTTTCAAGTTCATTTCTGCAAGCGTGATTGGTCGTTGAGTTGGATGTCCGTTATTTCGAAGAGGAGTTCGCTTGATTGGTGCATCGATCAGGTTTGAGAAGCTGTCTATTCGAGTTTATTTGGCTTTATCTTTTGTTTGCCAAATTATTGAGGTCAAATACTCAAAGGTAGGAATAGGTAGGGGAAAAGAGGGAATTGTTCAAAATCATAGACGAGAATAATAAAGCGATGTGCGTTGTGGTATTTGAATGTTGACCATTGAAGGTTTGAAAATAAGAGTCCAATTGTTCACGATGGGCAGCGCAGCGCATGCTGGCAAATGTTTCGTATTTTAATTAGAAATTGAAATTTGCAGTCGGCTCAAGGTGTTTGACTGGAAGACCCAGTCAGGTCTCATGCATAGGACAGTGGGAGCTGATCTGGTAAACTAATTTTTCTTTGTAATTGTTTTACCATTCAGATTGCCGGCTGTCTTTGTTTTGTTTCTTTGCTTTTCCTTCTTTACTGTCCTGCCAACTTTTCACCATTTGTTATTTTGTACTACAATGCAAATTCCCAAGTGTAGACAAAAATTTAAAATTCGGATAGTTCTAAAAGCCAATGAATGAATATTTATTGAGAAGCAAGTGTCCCAAAGAGCAAAATAAGCATTCTTTAATGGTGAATTGTTTATCTGCGAATTAGTTTCCAACGAATGAATGCGGAATTGGCATTATAGTAGACCTCTTTTACTAAAAAAGAAAAGAGATAAGAAAGTAGGTAAATCTTTTGGCTTTATCTTTTGTTTGCCAAACTTTTGCATGTATACTGTGGCTGCAGATTCTATTTAGTTTGTTGCCTTACTAATGCATTTGTACTTGAGATGGTTGATTTTTGCTAAAAATGTGTTTTACACCTTGGATCCCATTGCTGGTATTTGAAGAGTTTAAATTTAGTTCATATTATATTGCATTTGTTTTCTATATAATGTGACGGTCATATTCTTTATGGTAGGATAAAGGGCTGCAACAATATGGATAGGAGTTGGATGTCTATTAAGAACTACCTAGACCCCAAGTATTTAGATGGTACAGAAAATAAAGGTGGGAGATTTACAGAGGAAATAGTTTATTCTTGAGGGATTAATACTAAGAGGACAGAATTTTAATTTAAAAGTGAATATGCCCAATGTCCCTGCTGCAATGTGATGAGAAGCTATTCCTCTTGGATAAAAGGATCAATACCTTTCAAAAATAGTTAGTCACTGCTTATGGCTGAAAACTGTATGGGGATACAGAAACAACCTTTTCATAAAGTGACGAATGGCCATAAAAACTTAGTGAAGAACTTTTTTGGTATCATACCACATACTGTGACAGCCCCACCTCACCCTAGGACGAACCAAAGGGTTCGGCGGACTGCCTGCCCAACTCTCGCCGGGACTCAGTCATATAAAAATTATCTAGAAAATTTTTCCTAATAAAGAAAATGTAGAAAAACATGCCATTAAATAGGATAAAACCCTAGAAAATGGGAAAATTTATGGGCTCTCACACATACCACATACGTATAACTGTAAAAGTAAGTTTTGTAGATGATTACTGCAGCGTCAATCGAAAGCAAAGAAATTGTACTATGTACTTTTTTGGCCCTAATCAAGTGCAGATTTTGTACATGGGGCGTTCAGTTTACCATCTACTTAAGGAGTTGTGGTCACTGAAATTAGTCATTTTTTCCCACTTTATTGTGTTCAATATCCTTTTAAGATTTATCTACTTAATATTCTTTTTATGAAGTGTCCTAATGTTTCCCTTAGGTTAAGAGGCGAAATTCAGAGGAAAGCTCTATGCAGTGGACTACTGGTATTGCCGAGGTTTAGCTTCCCATGGAGTATGCTAATTTTCCTCACTGTGACTAGGCATATCTTAATTTGTCTTATACAACATGATGTATCTCTACTACAAACTTTTTATTTAATTTTGGTTGGGAAACTAAAATGTCTTGAGGTGGCATTTGTTGTTTGTGTCAAGAATAGAACATCTTAATTTCTGTTGAAACATTATACAGATAGGTTCAGCTTGCAGATCTCTATGCAATAAGTTGTGCTCAAATTCTCCCATTTGTGACAGATACAAATTGAGGAATATTGAGGAAACTGAGGTTGCCAAAAAGCTCTTACAAGAAAAAAGGCTCATGGGTCGCACCAAAACTGACTCTAGTATTCCCTCAAGTTATAGTGCAGATTACTTGCAACGTGGGAAGGACTATGCCGAGAAGCTTAGGAGAGGTTTGTGGCAATTACTCACTTAAAATGCTTATTTGGTTCTATGATCTGATGTTTGCCTAAGTATGTATGTATACCTGAGTATGTTTGCATGCCTGGTTGATTGCTTAGGGAATATTGCAACACTTGGCACTGATCATTTGTGCTATCCTCAGCCTCTGCCATTAGCCTCAGTATGATAGTTTTTACCCCACCGGATATCATCACTCAAAACCAAGAAGAATAATGTCAATGCCATATATGCCTCCATGAAGTGGCAAATCAAGCTTAGATTCTTTTTCAGGGAGAGGGACAAGCATGGGGAAGACTGGGGTCAATGGGTGGCAGGCAAGTTTGTGAAGGAGAGGAAGGGTTAGCGAGCAGGTGAGAGAGTTTTTTCTTTTGGGAGGGGGTTTGCTGTGGATTAGTTGAGGGTTGTAGATTGGAATGGTGGGATCTGGGGTTGGGCTGATCCATGGCTCAATTTCATTTGATTTATGGGTGTTTGATAAAACTGAAATTTGAAGGCTGAAATTTAAGTACCGACGTTGCTGATTTCATTAAGTCAAACCGGTTTGATAATCTGCTGAATTTGAGCACTGAATGAAAACTTTTATTATACATAAATTATATTAACTGAATGAGAAAATTTTATTATACACAAATTATAAAGTTTAAATATCACTCATTAATATTGTTAAACCGAAATTCCAATACGAATAGTGTATGGTGTTTATGTATGCAAATGCATGTTGGGAACAAAAATGCATGTCTATGTATAATAAGCGAGTTATGTTTGAAATAAAATATGCTAAACAACAAATGTTAGCGTGTGAGAGAGAGAGAGGAGAGACAAGTGTGCCTGAGAGAGAGAGAGAGAGAGTATATGTGAGAGGGAGAGAGTGTATATGTCAAAGAGAGAGAGAAAGTGTGCGTGAGAGAGACTATATGTGTGTGCGTGTGTGTGAAAGAGAAAGAGGCTGTGTGCATGTATGAAAGTGTGCTAGTATGTGAAATAATATTTTTGATGAATAATGTTACCCTAGTTCAAACATTCAGCAAATTAAATGATTAAATTTTCACTTAAAATTTTTCAAAGAAATTAAGTGTCTCTTAATGGATTCAGATGTTGTGGAGTTTTGTTATCAAACAAACTTAATAGGAAAAACCCTTAATCCATTAAGTTTAAGTCCTTAATGGGGTTATCAAACACCACCCTTAGTTGCTCTTTCAAGCTGAACTGTTAACTTCAGTATAGAAGTTGTCTGAACAAAACCAAACTGGCTTGGTTATGTGAATTGGCAGTTCACTTGGGCAGTTTTCAACTATAGCAAAAAGCGCCATATTAATTAGCTCATTCTCTAGTTTGATTGGATTGGAAATGGAAAATACTCTATTACTTGATATAATATGGGATTGTGAGTGATTATAGAATAAAATCTAAATTGCGTTAAACATTTAACCTTGTTATATATGTGATATTGCCTTACGACCTCTATTTCTTTTGTTTCATGTATATTGATTTAATTTTCTGAAGATGGGATCTCATTGGAAACAAATATTGAATGATCTAGTATGACGTCTCTCATGTGTAAAGAAAGTGTAAACCTCTAGAGTTATAATATTAGTTCCACAATGATTTTCTATTCGAACTGTAGGAGCAGCAATTATAGGTATATATCTCCAAAAAGAAGGGACACCCATTTTAATATATTTTTATAAGAGGCTTAAAGTGCAAATGGTTTTGTACTTGACTCCGGATTTGTGTATTATCAATTCTGTACACATTGCCGCATTTATTTATTTATTTTTTCACTTTATGGTCTGAGATGGTTCCTCACTAGACTGGCCAAAAGGTGGGGGGTCTTCAAGGGGAAGAGATAAGACAGCCGAGGAGGTGAGGTGAAGGGAGAGGAAAGAGTACCTGGCAAACCTTGAGGGAATCCAGTCTAACTTAATCCTTTTGTAGTTGGTTGAATACATTTTGATATTATGCATTCAAGTGAACCTTTTTAACTCTTATACTACAAGTAGGAAACTTTCTTACGTGATTTACACATTATTGGAAGACTAGCTGTATGCGAAACTTTTGTGTTTGGACGCATACTCATTGATTGTTGTGTCGTATTGTTATATAAAAGATCAGAAATTTTTTGGAAGTAGATCTGGCCGTATTTAGAATGGTAAGGAAAACTGAGGATGACCTTTGAGAAGTGAGAGAAGTAATGATTCAAATAAGCTAAAAAAGAAAAAAAGGAAATAGGTTATGCTTCGTTCATCAGGTTCCTTTTGCATAAGATTTGTACATGTGCTAAATGGTTATCTTCTGGAATATGTGCTTGTAACAGTACATATTTCTGATTTACCGGTTATTCTTGTGGAGATCCTCTTAGGTTAGTTTAACTAGACATAATACCAACAATATGGTAATAGCATTTTTTCGTGTCTTGGCAATACGGTAGTTGGAGTAACAGCCATTGTCAAATTTTGGTGTTCAATTGCTGTTCTTATGCTTGAGAGCAAGCATGATTTAGGTGTGGGGGGAATTGATAGGGTGTTAATTGTTGGTTATTTTATTATTAATTTTCCCTTTATCCTTGCTAAATATTGTTTTAATTATTAATATTTACTTATATTTGGTATTTGGATTTAATTTCAGGGAATGAAGCAGAAAACTACAAAAAATGAGGGATTTTCCACTATACAATTGAGACTTCAAATAGTTGGGCCCCATATGGTGCTACAAGGAAGCCTTTTTCGGTTGCTGGCCCACAAGGAGAAGAAGAAAACGATTTCCTTTTCTTTGTGCTGATGAGGAGTGCATTGTACTAGCTAATTGACTAGCAATAGGAAACGAGAAAACAGGACATTAGGTAGCACTTGACTTTTTGTCTTATCTTTTCCTTCTCATCCGAGAGACCAACAAGGGAGAGAGGTAGTCATTTGTTTAGAAGAGGGAACTTTGGTCTTTCGGGGAGAGCTCTTATCGAGAGCCTTTATCAATAGTTTTAGCTTAGCTTTTGGCATAGTTTTGTTTTTATTCTTTCTTGGTTCTTTTGATGGCCTGGACCTCAGTTAAATTACGTAGAGATTTTTCCATGAGGCATGGCTAAATTCTTCTAGTCGAGGGGACAACTGATGAATTGGTTCGGCAATTACTGTGAGATCTAAACCACTTTTAATTATTTTTCTCATTTATTGGTATTTATATGTTTCCTGCTTTTAATTGTTGTAACCCTTATGTATGATTGATTAGTGCGCAATAATTAATTATTCATATAGGTTATTTTCCTAAATAGGGGTAATTGAATTCGTAATTGTTCGTTATCTCTATCTCAGTAGCAACTGGCGTAATTGGGTTTATGTCAGGGGAACATACGATCTAATTTAAACAAACCCTCGTAGCATGTTTGTTAGTTAGGATTGGGTCTTTCTAATTATTAATGCAATCTAGAAATTAAATCCTACGGTCGTACCTAGGGTTATTTTTGGGTTAGAAAAATAGCTAACGGTCGTACCTTAACTATCGAAAAACTAAGGAAAGGTTGGTTGTTTATCGCGTGCACACTACAAGAAAATTGTTCATCAGTGACAACACAAAGTCATCACAGAACATACAAATATCGTCACAAATACCTTTTATTGACGACTTTTTGATCGTCACAAAGTCGTCACTAGTCGTCACTAAATAGTTGTCATTAGTGACAACAATCCGGAAGTGTTTTATTGACGAATTGACCTTTTGTCAAAAATGCTCTACTTAAGATCGTCACTAAAAAGCACCGAAAGCCATTGTATATAACTATTTTACTGACAACAATTGTCGTCACAAATGTAACTTAGATTTAGTGACAGTCTCTGTTGTGACAAGGAGTTTTTATTTTCTAATTTGTGACAACTTTTTTTTGTCATTAGATAATTTCTCAATAGCTTAATAATCATAATTTGGCCTGTAATCATTGCTAAATCATTGATTTTAAACAAACCATACAAATAAACATGAACGATTGATAACCAAAAGTATTTGCATTAGATTACATGGTAATAATATAGCATTCTCAAATGCCAAATTCAAGTGTACATTACCCAACTAATGCCTACAAAAATAACATTTGTCCAAAATATCACTTGTACATAAGGTACATTTACAAAAGCAATCACAGTTTAAGAAATTGAAGAACTTTTAAATGAACCACTCCATGAGCAAAAGGCAATTTTGTCTTCAATATTCTTCAACCATAACCATAGTTATCTTCCGAAAGCTAGTATGAATAGCATTTATCTGTCATAAAGGGGTAAAAGAAGTAGGTAAGGGGAGGAGTACAATAATAAAGAACAAGTAATGAGACTTAGATTATTAAGACAAAAATTACAATTCATTAAGAACCTCATATAATTTGGGCCCACATATTACAACACCAGCAAGAAGTTAGAAATCACAGTCCAATCTATACAAATACAACACTGCATAAGCTCAACTAAAGAGCTCTCTAAAACAGTTTTTTTTTATTTTCTTTCTTCTTTAAATAGCTCAACTTATTGAACAATTAAATTGGACTCCCACAGTAATTGTTGTTTAATCTTTAGATGAATTCGGTGTAGTTGAAGTCCACAGAGAATGGACTCCACAGGTTGGATTGCCATTTTTCTTCAAAATATTTTTAGGTTTCCGTAAATACATTTTCTAATCACTCTTTTATCTCATATACATCATATCACTACGGTATTTTTTTTTTTTTTTTTACAAAAACTCCAGAAAATAGCAATCGAAACAGGCATCATACTTCGATATTTTCCTTTGACAAAAAGGAAAACATCATGAAGTCCTGTAACATCATTTGAAGTCAAGTTGTTTCATTCTAGTTAAAAGCAATGGACCAACACATCTACAAAGGTGGAGATATGGATGCTGTTAATTTCCAGTTGTCATCCACACACATAGTTCCAGATAGAGATTCTTTTGCTCAGGCAATTGATAGTGAATATTTTCCTAGGCCTTAGTAGTTAAATGATATACCCTACGCCCAGACCAGAACAACATTCTTGTGGCTTTGTTCTAATATCAGATATTTTGATCTGGATGTGTGTTAGTCCAACCTTTCACATAATTACACAAGAAATGAGGCATTAATGTGAACCAGTATTTTGTCAGTCTGAAAACCATTTTTAAGACTAGGCGACCTTGGAAGCCAAGCAATTGGTTAAAATTTCCCACTACTGATTCTAGTTTTCAAACAGGATCCAAACTAGTTTTCTATGTACAATAACTACATGCTTGTTCAGCTATTCTCAGCTTACCCCAAGGGTGCTTTTATTCTGAATTCGCACTTTCTCAGCTCAAGTTAAAACAAATGTCAAAACCAACAATGAATACCGAAAAACTTGCCTTAATTAACCAAATCAGAAAACTTGCGCAAGAAACCCACTGTAGCTTGGTGATGCTATGCTACTGGTCTTAAGTGTAGAATTTAGAAGCCTAATTTGATTCTCTGTCTCAATTTCGTTTCCAAATCCTCCGTTGATGGAATCTTCCCACCATTCCTCAAAGTTCTGGACCACCAGACCTTTAATTCATCCTGTTAGGTGAGCACGTAGAAAACAATTGGTCTCAACACAGAGATAGATTCAAGAAATCTACCATTAACAACTAAACAGAAAATTCAAATGGAAATGAAAACCCAAATAGTACCAAGCATCAGATACCAAATACAAAAGCATTAAATATTTACACCACCACAGCCGAAATAACATATAGCTCACATTTTACTGCATTATCTGGGATAATTACAGAAGAGAAGTTGAGAAACACCTTAATTTTATTTAAACCATGTAAAATCAGTTAGCATACTAAATGAAAGTGATAACTGTAATGGTGGCTTAGATGCTTTTGAACACAAATATAGAGGGAATTTACCTCTAAGAAGTCCTGATTGGACACATACTGACTCCCAATCGAGCATTTAATACCTCCAACACTCACAGAAATGGAAGTTTTAGAATCTTTCACTGGTTCCCCTGCTTGCTCCACCGTTAATACACATGCCAAGGACAAGAAAGGGAAAGTGGTAAAGTACATAAGATAAATAAGTACCATCAGTGCTTATAAGCAATAAATGGTTTCCAAAAGTAGCATCCTGAAACAGATTTCCCAAAATGCAGTTTCACATATGGCTTACCTGTAATACAAGCAACGTAGTAGCCAGTTCCACCTAATCCTGCTTCCCATTTACCAAGTCGCAAGCACAGGAAAAGACCTTCCAAATGTAACAGTGAGACATCGGAGTTTATCCATCTGAAGCAGAAGCTACTTCTAAGAGTTCAGCATTTAAAAAGGTGCTCAGTACAGATATATAAATAGCATTGGAATTAAATTTTATTAAGAAAGACTGAACCTATGCAGGGATCCCAAATACTTTAGAATGACAGAGGGTAACACAGACAGGAGACGAACAACTTATCATAACATTGGAATGCAATAATAAGATTTCCTCCTTGAGTAGCAATGTTTATCATATCATCATCCAAAACCAAATAATTCACTGAACTTAGTTGTCAAAAAGGCACCATATCATTCACCGCTTTCTAAAATACATCAATAAGGTGTAAGAAATAGACAACAGGCAAATACCAGTGTAGTTAAGAGCACTGTAATTCTCCAATAGGACCATCTCTCCATGAAAATCAACTATCTGTCTGCCTACATTCATCAGATTACCATTCGAACCATCATATTACCTTTTATCTGGGGAATTTAACAAAAATGGAGTCAACATCTGTCTCCCACTCAGGGCCAGTTCTTCCTTATCTAATTCTCTGCTTTAGTTCCTCACATACTGACCAATCTACTCCCATTATACTTATAGAGCCATATAAGATCAATCTTTTTTGCACGGCAAAAAAAGAGCATGCAGTCAAAACTCATATGCTCTATTTTTGTAAGTGTTCAGTAATGCACAGAATACATAGATTCAAAGTCTAACATAGATAGAAAGGAGTATATACTTACCCAAACATCACAATAATTGGGAATTCCATAGCAGGGACCAATAGCATCAGCATAATGAGCTGCAAGTGTGGTAATATTTTTCTTTGGATCTGGTCTTGACAATGCTAGAATCATTGGCTTGTGGGGATTTGTGAGAAACCGCATTACCTGTCAAAACAGTTACTAAGATGTAAGGTAAACATTCCCAGGTAAGAGCAAAATCAGTTATGAAAACCACCTACTCACTTCTGACCATATTGGAGGGAGTGCTTTAGGTGAAGCACCATCACCATTGGTTAGTGCTACAAGTTCACCATCGACTTCGGCTGTGTCTTCTTGTGCTATGACATTGCTGAAGTCCATCCCAGGAGGGATAACCTGAAAAATGTAGCTAAAACTAGCAGATATTAGAACCTTCATAAATGTATATACACTTGAGCAGATGTCTAGACTTTCTCATGATGCTCTCCTGGCTGCAGAATTCAAGAACCTAAGTGAAAATCATAGTCTCATTGACAACAGCCATCTGCCATACTAGTGCTTAATAGGAAATAACAAAGGCAGATCATACATGTCTAATGAAATCTTCTAAGTTCCTCAAAAGAGGCATGCTATCAATTAAAAACCATTACTGCACTGGAGTAATGAGCCTTGTCTTAGTAGCTTACCATTCCAGGGAATTACTTTAGTTGAACAAAAAAACAAAGAAGCAATAACTATCTAAATTGCTTTGCTTATTTTAAGAACCAACACTAATGCACAAGTTTCAGCTAAAGCAATAGCACATCAATTTAATTTCTCAACAGTATGCTTACCGCCATCCTTGGCATGTAGCGACCATGGCAATTGACCCCTCTTCTTGCACGGGCCCTCAAAACTTTCTCAAGCTTTACATCAAATCCATCATATAGTCCCCACTGTTCATCAATCTCCTGCTTGGTGCTTGTAATAACAAGTTCTGCAGCATCAAGTGAAAGTTCTTCTGCTTCTACCCTACGCATAATTTTGTATGTAGAATTAATGTCCTCTTTTGATTGCCTTCCTTGTTTCAGAAGTTGTTCTAGCTTGTTTCTACCGAGTGAGTGCCCTGTCAGAACCATATGCAGTCAAAAGTCATATGCTCTATTTTTGTACAATCAAACCTCGTAACAAATACAAATTTTGACCATGAAGATTGTAAGTGTTCAGTAATGCACAGAATACATAGATTCAAAGTCTAACATAGATAGAAAGGAGTATATACTTACCCAAACATCACAATAATTGGGAATTCCATAGCAGGGACCAATAGCATCAGCATAATGAGCTGCAAGACAATTCCTCAATGCCGGCTGTAATAACTCCCATGGCAGCGGAATTCTCACCCCCTGTGACCTCAACTCATCATCCCTCCCCTCACTTCGCAAATGCTGAATTTCTTCCACAACATCCTCAATCTCATTGTGACCCCTCGAGTCACCCGAAAGCCCATGGCTATTTTCAGTAAAATTATCAGGTTTTTGGGTAGTAAAATCATCGAAATCAGATTTACAAGGGCAATCCTGACTTGCCCAATCTGCCGAAAATTTGCAAAAATCAAGCTTTGACCAACTGGGCATTTGCGAGATCTGCTTATAATAACAATCAAGGGCAATGCCTACAATGGAAGCTCGTTTAGTAGACTTCACCGCCATCTGGGGTTCGAGAGGAGGCGATAGAACGCCGACTAGAGGCCGAGACGAGGGGTTATTGTTAATGGGGTTCGATTTATTCGAAGGGGGATTTCGAGAGGAGTGATAAAGAGAAGGTTGAGAGAGATCAGGGATTGAAATGAGCACGGGTATACCCGAATGAGCCTTGACTTCAGATGAGTAGAGGACAAGAAGGAGAGCTTCGAAGCCGGCGAGATTAGGGGTGGGGGAGATAGCGGATGTGGTGGAGGAGGAGTGGATGCGGGATAGATAGAAGGAGGAGAGGAGAGGGATATAGCAGAGGACAACGAGGCGGAGTTCGGAGTCAGCGGAGAGGAAGGTGTCGTATAGCCACAGGCAAAGAGAGTCGTCGTCGGAGCCGGATGAAGGGGAGGAGAGGGAAGATGAGATGGAAGAATAGGCGGCGGAAGAGAGGAGGAGGGAGCGGGCAGGGCGGTCGGAGTCGGCAAGGAACGAGAGAACTGAGGAGGTTCCGGGGAGAAGAGTGGAGAGGAGATGGATTCGAGTGCGGGCTTTTGAAATGGACTCCCACCAGGAGTGCATCGAGTCGGAGTTATTTGCTCCGGTAGCGATGCGGTGGGGAGCAGGACCACCGTTTTGGTGGTTGAAGGAAGTGGAGTTGGATGGGTTAATCTCGGTGGAAGAGGTGGATGAAGAAGGGGATCCACTCCTACCACTATAGCTAATTAAAACCTTCACCTTCCCCAAACTCAATCTCTCAAACCCGTTTCCACCACCAACTCCGCTGAAAACCTTTATCTTGCACAATAAAAAAATGAAGTAATGGTATTCACAACTAAAATAATTCTAGTGGAGATGATTTCGCCCATAACTCAAACAATATCCAAAAAACTTGGGCACAAATTTTCATATCAAATTAACTGATAATCATTCTAAGTTAAGTAGTCACAAGTTTATTTACACTAATGAATTATTTATTTATTCAATTATTTTTATTCTAATGAAGTTATTACATATACAAGAAAATTAAATTAACAAGGAGGCTCGTAAGTATATAACAGTTAAAAATCATTAGAGAACACATAATGATTACAAAAACACAATGCTTTTTTTTTATTTTTAATTTGGTTTGAAGCATAGATTTTATTGCTATAGTATTATTCTTTATTTTTTAGTACAAAAACACAAATTTTCATCAATATAGGTGGCAAAATTTGTTAATTACATATAAGTGAAAATATACTTTTATAATTTGCAAATATTTTAGCCCTGCAATTTTTTATAATTGCAGCACTAAAGTACATCATTAATTGAAAATAACGAAAGTCAAATTCTATGGTTATAACAGACTTTCATTAAAAATAATCAAATGCTATTAATAAGACATTATTGTTAAGTCAAAATCAAAGAAAATTTAGTGATGACATAATGTTATCACTAATTTATTCAAGATTATAATGACAAGAAAAGTCGTCACTAATTAAATTGCTAGTTTTTAATATTGTCAATTGCTAGTTTTTAATACTTTTGTGAAAATATTGATAATGGTTGAGAAAATTTTGTTACATTACCGCAAGTGATAAATGTACTTTTGTTCTTTTTGAAACATTTATTTTAATGTTTAATTTTGTTTAAAACTATTGTACTAGTATAGATTTGCAAGACAAAACTTAAGTTCTCAATAGTTAAAAAATTCATTACAGAGAAAACACGAAGTAGTAGTTGCAAAATGTGTATAAATTACAAATATTTTAATGTGTATAAATTACAATTTATTTTAATGTTTAATTTTGTTTGAAACTATTTTACTAGTATACATTTGCAAGACATAGATTTATGGGTAATTTCTTTTTTTTTTTTGCTTTCACATATTTAATTTATGTTAAATACAAAACCTACCAGTTTCCCTTCCATAAAAATATTAGTGCAACACTTTTTAAATTTTACTTACAAACATTTATGTATTTAACATAAATTAAATGATTTGGAGTGAAATGCCCATAAAGAGCAGAATATTTGTTCATGTAATGGAGGAAACCCACAAAGAGTTGGTACTTTATGGGCCATTTCTTTTTTAAAAAAAATATAATTTATGTTGAAAAGATAACCTGCCAGTTTTCGTTTTGTAAGAAATCAGTGTAACACTTTTTGAATTTTACTTACAAACATTTATAAATTTATCATAAATTATATGTTTGAGAGTAAAATGCTCAAAAAAAGTTGGTACTTTGAATAGATAATGCTCATTTGCCCATAAATTACACTCCCTGAAGGCTATTTTGTTAATTACTTTGTAGTACTTTGTTATTCCTTTGCTAATACTACTTGGCATGTAGTACAAAGGATAAATCTGGCATAAATTTCTTATTCCATTGATAAAAAGACCTGTCTGCCTTATAATTATTGTAATGAAAGATATATGTTTAGAGTTTATAACAAATTATTACTTAAGTTTGAGAAAATTATAAAATATTTATGCATAGTTTATCAAGATACCATTCGCAATTTCCTAATAAAAAAATAGGGGCTAAATTGTAAAAGTTAGGGTGCCATAATAGAAATAATAAAATTGGGGTATTGCATATGGGGGTTAAATTGCAAAAGTTAGAGTGCCATAGTAGAATTAATGAAATTAGTGAATTACATATGGGGCTAAATTACAAAAGTTAGGGAGTAATAATAGAATTAAAGAAATCGGTGTACTACATATGGGGCTAAATTGTAAAAGTTAAGGTATCATAATGGAATTAATGGAATTTTTTACAACATTTTGGGCTAAATCGCAAAAGTTATGGTGGCACAGTAGAATTAATGAAAGTGACTTAGAAATAAGTACTTTAAACAGTGACGATTAATTCTTGTTACTAAATCTGAATCGGTAGAGTGACAGTGATGATATTAGAAGTTGTCACTATATAGATCATTTTAGTGACAACTTTTTCAAGGTCGTCACTAAAGACTTAGTTGCTTTGAGTAATTACGACAACTCTCCTTGTCGTCACTAAACAACCACGTTTTGTGACGACTTTTGTCGACACTAAAAAATGTTGTCACTAATAACCATATTTCTTGCAGTGTAGTTTGTGACGAAAATAACGGGTCATCACTAAACATTTAGTTGCTTTGATGCAATTGTGACAACTTTAGGTGTCGCGACTAAAGAAGCTTCTTTTGTGACTACTTATTGTCATCACTACAAAATGTTGTCACTAATAACTTTTTTTTAGTGATCAGTGACGACAACAAAAAGTCGTCCGTAAATAGGCCAAGCAATAGTGATGATGTTCTTAATGTCGTCACTATTGTGTGTTCTAAACACTCCCGCGCTTTTACTAAATCTTGGCGGGAATTTACTAGTGACGACACTTTTCTAAGTCGTCACAAATGAGTTGGCTCCCATTAGAGGTTTGTGACGAGTTAGAAAGTCATCAATAAAGGATCTACTTTTGTGACAACTTTTTTTCGTCACAGAGAAAAGTTGTCATTGATGACCAATTTTCTTGTAGTGATATGAGAGTATTTGAAATATAATTGGAGTATTGAATATGAATCATTATAGCTGATTTGATTTTTTTTTTATAATTACTTAAATGTCCTCTCAGACATTTAAAACTATGGATAAGTTTAACATGTGAGAGTATTCGATATCCAATTAAATATTCGGTACAACTGAATTCAGCTTGTGTTTTAGTAGAATTACATAAAAATCCTTTTAATCATTTAATTGTATTAACATCTAAGTCTCTTAATTTCTTAAAGCCTTTCTTAACAGTTATTTGCAAACTTATGATATATAGATGTTAAGACACAATTAATGCTGATTAGTAGAGAAGTTTGGTTTCTTGGCCGTTACTATAGTAACCCCTATCTATTCAAATTCATTTCATTTACTTATAACTTTGTTCCACTACAATCATATAGTCTATTGAATTCAGATGTTGCTATATTAGCTACAACTCTTTCCCATTTTGCAAACATCTTTCTCAATATGTTTGTTTTCTTTAGCTAATCCACTTTTTTAGTTGTAAGAAATTTGTAATCTTGCAAGTTGTATGTGCAATACTTTTTTTAGTGTTTTAATTCAATTGCCCATGTTAGATAGGCTTGATAGGGATGAGATCACATTTGTTAATTGTTATTTGTGGTTTAGAATAAGTTTGTCATCATAAATTTTTTCATTAATAGATTGCATCTACTTTTTTTGTTGTTTTAACTATTAGTTACAATAATTTTTAAATCATTTACTACTTTTTATGATTCCATTTAGGCAATTTTTCATTTCATTTGATTTGCCAATATGTTTAACTACCTACTTAAAACTATTTGGCTGCAAATCTAAAGTATGTACTTCTAAAGTATCTACATAATATTGCCTTTTGCTGATATTTGTCACTCAGGTGCTCCAAGAGAGTTCTAACAATTATTTTTGCAGTAAATTATGGGATTGTATTATTGTACCTTTTAGGTTGATTAATGGAATTTTTTGAAGATAACACAATACTACTTTTTGCTGATATTTGTCACTCTCAGGTGCTCCAAGAGAGCTCTAACATTTATTTTTGCAGTAAATAATGGGATTGTATTATTGTACCGTTTAGGTTGATTAATGGATGCTTCTTACCCTTTTGACCGTTGAACCTTTTTTTGAAATTCCATCAGTTTTTTGAGATGCCTAATGAATCTATTCAAACCGTTTGTTATAATCTAACTGAGCTGGTCAGCTGATAATGTTTCTAAACCTGGAATTTTTTTAATTTTATTTTTTTAATGTTGTTTCATAGTTCTTTGAATTGAAAGGATTTTGGCTGGCTTTAGCATCACGTGATAAACAGGACCTTTCTCTAGGCAGCAAGCCTTTTATGATTTTTATGAAGTTGGCGCAAAATATTAGAACTTACCAGGAATTTTCAATCTCTTGTATTGTGACGTGCAGAAGATTATAGTTGCTAAGTGTGATTTATAGTTGTCTTTCGTTTGTGGGTCTTTTATTTTCTCAATTCTTAATGAGAATCCCTGCCTAAAGTCTCCAAGTTCCCTTTGTTTCCAGCCTTCAAGCATGACACTGGAAGGGTGCACAAAGAGAAGCACCAAAGATGGTGATAAATCCACACTGGTACAAGCGGTTAACAAAACCTGAGCTGCTTCAATTTTTTAAATTCGCTCGGTTAAAGAACAATTGTTACTCAAATTGATGTTAATTCAGAAATAGTAACTATGATATGAAGGCAAGTATTATGATATACCGCTACATCACTTATCTCTTGATGCACTATATGTATATACGAATACATGAGAAACATGTGATCCAATAACAATCCAAAAAAAAAAAATTTGCCAAAAAATCTAATGAAAAAGGAATTATAATCTTTTTGAACTTAATAATGGTAAAAAATACGTTGTAAAACCGAATGGAAAAAGAGCTAGAATCTTAATGGTAAACAAACAAATCCAAAATATTTCTTTTGAAACAGGCTCCAAGTATCTGCACATCTGCGGTCAAGGCTTCGTCATTCATGGTAGAAGTAAAATAAACAATGCTCACGCAAATGTATAGAGAGCAGCAACAATGGCCTAAAGATTGA